TATTACCTCCTTCCTCTAGATCAGAAGTCCATAAAGTGAGATTATCCCTGAGAAGCTGCATGATAAGTGTGCTGTCTTTGTACGAGTCTTCATTAAGACTGTCAAGCTCAGCGATAGCTTCGTCAAACGCTTTCTTCGCCAAATGACACGCTCTGAGGAGATGGATTCAAGAAATGTCAAATACAAAAATATCCAGAACTCGTCAAAGTCGAGCTACTTGATCCAAGCGAGAGACAATACCGTTCTGGAGAGTTTAAGATCTCGTAGTAGAAGACGGAGAAGTTGAGAGCCAACCCGAGTCTGATTGGATGTGTGGGACCCAATTCAGAGCTAGCTGTAGTCGTTGCAGCCTATATCGAAAACACAAAGCAAATGAGAGAGTACTCAACTTTATTTCCTAGCATTAAGCTAATTAATCCAGAGCAAAAAACGTTAAAACATACTTCGTAGGCCTTTAGTGACTGATCAGCAGCATCATCTCGGTCAGCACCAGATTTAAACTCAGCCAAGTACCTCAAATAGTCTCCTTTCCTGTCACACAAATATCCGAAAAACCGATTAATCAGCCAAATATACTCATGGTTCGACATTTTAATTCAGAACGTGGACCGACATCTTGTAGTAGAAAACAGTGGATTCTCCTGAAGTTGCTGATGGGACAAGATGCTTATCGATAACAGCCAAAATGTCGTAGCAGATCTTAGAGAGCTCAACTTCGACCTTTGTTCTGTAATCCTTAATCCTCTTTGCATTCTGTTCGTTTCCCCTCGATTCTTCTTTCTGTTCGATCGAAGACAGGATCCTCCACGAGGCTCTCCTAGCACCAATCACATTCTTGTACCCAACAGACAACAAGTTCCTCTCATCAATAGTGAGCTCTACATCAAGAGCTGCAACTTTCTTCATCGCTTCAACCATCTCTGTTCACAATAACAACACACACACACATACAATAAAGCATATATTGAAATAATCAAGCACAAAGTAATTTGATCGAATTAGATGATTCCAAATTTCGTAACCATCAAAAATATTTCGCAAATCCCTAAAAATGAAAACTTCCAAATTGGTCAAGACACAGTAGATGATTCCAATAACCAAACCCATTTACAAAAAAATCGAAACCAAATAACACTATTGAGTAACCAAAATCATGAAGAACTATGTTTAGTTTGACGACATAG